GTGTCTGATCACTACAGGTTATTCAGGCTGCAGCTGCAGTTCATGTGTTCACTGCTGCTCTTCATCATGATGAGGAACTACACACTGCTGGAGTCTTGATCACTTCTGTCAGATCATCACTGAGCGCACACACACACACACCTTAACGCTTCCACTCCACACACTGTCAATCAGCACACAGACGTCACTGATGCTTGCTTGTGTGTGTGTGTGTGTGTTTGCAGGACGAGGCCACTGAGCTGCTGGTGTATGTTCTGCACTCTCTGAGGAACCGCAGGGACACACACATGATGATGGGAGCGTCTGATGAAGATGAGGATGACGAAGAGTCTCAGGTGTGTTCTTCAGATGCTCTCGCTGTCTTTAAGGGGCCGTTCACACACTCATCAACATCATGTGCACTGTCAAGGGTTCCCAGAGCCTCCAGTTTCTTCTGTTCTGTTCAAAAGGAGATGTTTTGAAGAATGATAGAGGCCTGTGACCATTAACTTCACTAGTCGGATAAATGAACGCTGTTAAAGATTTCAGCTTTCCAACATTCTGCAAAACATCTGCTTTTGTGTTGAACAGAATATTTACCTCGGGGGAGAGTAAACCCTGAGCACCTGTTCAGTTTAGGGGAACTGCTCCTGTAGCTGCTGCTCCTCCTCACTGAGGATGCGTCTCAATCAGCAGCCTTGTTCACTAGTCAGTGCACTGATCAGGGTGTCAATCACTGTTAGTGCAGTCTCCATCTAAAAGATCAACAGTGCACTGAACTGAACCTGAAAACTCCCACAATGCACCACGCATGACAAACGAGAGAGTTTGATGGGAATAATGTGTTCTGTCTGTATTTTGAGCGTGAGTGAACAGCTGGACGGGTTCTGATCAGTCCAGCAGAGTTCCTCCTCATGTCCTCCTCCTCAGTCTCTGATGACCTCCTCCTCTTCTCCTCCTGCAGGTCGGGGGTCTGCGTTTCCCGCTCAGTCATCTGGAGGCTCTTCAGCAGCTGCTGGTCAGTGATAGAGTCCCGGTGGAGGATCTGCAGCTCCAGCAGGAGGACAAACTCAATCTGCTGCTGGCTCTGTGGAGCGAAGGCCTGCTGCGGGTCACTGGAGCCCTGGAGAACCACCACTGAGACATGAAGCGTGTGTGTTCTGCTGAGCGCCGTTACGCTGTCAGTAGTGTGTGTGAGGGGTTATATGTGGGTTTGATTCCTCTCCTGATATCCACCTGCAGGACGGGTGACACTGGACTATAATAACTCTGAGCAGTCGAGCTGATGTCCTGCAGATTCAGCCTGTTCACACACACACACACACAGTCTTCCTGTACAGTAAAGAGTGTGTATAGCAGCGCTCATCTGCTGTGTGTGAGTGTGAATGCTCGAGTTGAGTTTAGCAGGGCTTCTCTTTGTGTGTGTGTGTGTGTGTTTTACACACTGAACACACTCTTTCTCTCTGTGTTTTCTATCAGTATGAACTGTACAGCTGTTCCTCATTAAAGCAGAGACTCTTCAATATCACAGTGCACCGTCTGATTTTATGCAGCAGAAGTGTGTGTGTGTGTGTGTGTGTGTGTGTGTGTGTGAGACAAACTGAGACTGCTGAAGGATTAGCAAGAAAAAACTGAAACATCTATGTAGATTTGCACACACACACACACACACAGCAGGCACAGCTCATGATGACACGACCTGATGAAGCGTCCAGAGAGAAACAAAACATTAAATACAGACAGGAGCAAAGTGGGAATGATGTTTCATGACGTGTGTGTGTTCGTGAGTGTGTCTCAAATACACACATATCTATCCCTGACTGAGTGAAACTGAAGGAGCTGTGAACACACACACGCAGTGTGTTTACAGTTCATATTTATTGTCATTCTGCTCATGAACATTGCTGTACACATCATCCTCGTGGTTCAGATGTGTGTGTGTGTGTGTGTGGCTGAAATATAGCAGACTTCAGCTGTGAACACACACACACACACCTCAGCTTCTGTAGTGCAAACGAGATTTACTAGATAAAAACAAAAAACACACACACACACACACATACCCCCAAAGCATGTTCTGGCTCACACGTGCGCTTTAATACTCGTATCTCAGTCCTGACAGGTGTGTGTGTGTTCTCAGAGCAGGTGTATATCCCAGGTCTGAGAGCTGCACTGGTCTTCAGCTGGACTCAGCACCAGCCGCTGGCCTTCACCTGAAACACACACACACATCACTGTTACACGCGCTCTGCACACCAACATATGTATTATAAATGTGTGTGTGTGTGTGTACAGTCATATATGGACCTGTATGTAATTTACAGGTAACACATTCACAAGTAAAGCATAATAGGTAATGATGGCACGGTGGTGCAGCAGGTAGCACTGTGGCCTCACAGCAAGAAGGTCTCTGGTTTGAGTCTCGGCTGGGTCAGTTGGTGTTTCTGTGTGGAGTTTGCATGTTCTCCCTGTGTTGGCGTGGGTTTCCTCCGGGTGCTCCGGTTTCCCCCACAGTCCAAACACATGCGCTATAGGGGAACTGATCAACTACACTGGCCGTAGTGTATGAGTGTGTATGGGTGTTTCCCAGAGTTGGGTTGCAGCTGGAAGGGCATCCGCTGCGTAAAAAAATGTGCTGAATAAGTTGGCGGTTCACTCCGCTGTGGCAACCACAGATTAATAAAGGGACTAAGCCGACAAGAAAATGAATGAGTGAATGAATGAGTGAGTGATGGTAGTAAATATCTGTGTGACATGCAGCGGTGTCAATACGGAATCAGGATCAACTCTTGATAATGTAGTCCAGCTGGTCATCTTCTGTGGACACTGATGTATCCTGAAACGTTCATCTAAACATCTACAAATAAATACCTCGTCATACAGAACACCAGCGTCCTGCAGCAGCGGCGGCTCTCCCGTCATCACAGTCATTAGATGAAGACTCGGGTCTCTCAGACGTCGTGATTGAGTCAGATTAATCTGATGATCATGTGTGCTGTACTGAACAGGGGAGTATAGTTCAGCGTGTGTGTGTGTGTGTGTGTGTGTGTGTGTGTGTGTGTAGCTTCGTCATTTCTCAGGTGTTCAGGTTGTGCTGTGTGCTCTGATAATGACAGCACCAGCGCTGCTCAGACTGGCTTCAGTACCTGTGAGGTCCAGCACCAGACTGTGGTCCAGGTGTGTGTGTATGTGTCCGTCCTCAGTGATGCTCCAGCGCTGGTTGGTGCGTCCGTGCTCTTCCCATAATGCAACTGGGGCTCCGGCGCAGGCCTTCGCTCCGATCACAGACAGACAGCCCATCTGCTTCTGCACACACGAGAACACACACTTCACACACCGTTCCTGATCTGTGTGTGTGTGTGTGTGTGTGTGTGTGTGTGTGTGTGTGTTACCGTGTTCTTCAGCAGGCCGTCTCTCAGTATCCAGCGCTGTGTGTGTAGAGNAGCGTTCTGCCGGGCGCAGCAGTAGTTTGGCCGGTAAGGATCCATCCGGCGGTCTTCAGTGGTCAGAACCAAACCCAGAGCCCGA